TTAACCAAATTTCCAAGTTTCTTATCATGTTATACCTTATATGTTGAAAAACGTTATCATTTAGCATATCAAACGTTGTTTGTAATTAAGGTAAGTCGCTAGGCCTAAAAGTGCCAATCACTGTTTGTACTAGGCAAAATAATGTACTTTTATCATGTTCTTGAATTAGAATATTAGCAAAATTTTGGGATTCACTTTGAAAGACTTGAATAGTCCCATAGGACAAATGCGCTCTATCAATATTACAAAACTCAGGAACAATCTTGCATGATAAACATGATTTCGAAAAACAAATAGGATCTTATTCCTGGCCAGTACTTGCTATAAAATGAATCTCGGAAAGTTTTGTATCCATAAATACTACATAGGTATGAAATAAAGCAAGGCTTCAAATCATTTTTTAATAGAAGAGGTGAGTGGAAGGGTTTCATGAGCTTGCCTCACGGGAAGACAAGGGAGGATTACTTCTGAAAACAATGATGCTCCGACCCTTCGACACCTATCCCATTCGTTCGAATTCTCGTTATTTTCGCTCCTACTGCTTTTAAATTCATTAAATTTGCTCGGATAATTTTGAAATAAGTTTTTATGGAATACGAGACTCGGAGAAAACGATTACCGGCTTAATAGTCCATACATAAACCAATAGACAAACGAACCTTCTCCAATCATAAATCTTTATATAACCAGAAGAGCTCCTTACCTAACAGACTAATTTTATGATAAAACTTGTGTACTGAGTGCAAATGTCACTGGTTTAGGCGTCATCTTTTGAGTAGGGTTCTGCTAATATTGGCCTCTTATATCCGCCATGCATAGTGTATCGCCAATATTCTCTAGTCTCTTCTGTGCCGTTCTGCAAACATTCTATATATTGACTTGGTTTGATTGGGTTGACTGCAGATATCTTTTCTTAATTTCTGACTTTTCCTTGAGGGCCTATTGTGATTTTTTTCATGCTGCTACCTTGATCTAGTCGTCTTCTTTTTGCTCATATTGTTGCCTCCTTATTTTCTCCAAGTTTGCTTAAGCACTACTCAAAGTTTTTGCTAATTACGCGACCAAAATATAGGCCATACATTCTTAGCCTCAATAACTTTTATAAACTTGATAAGTTTCAGCAGCACCTGTCGGCTGCATAGATTCACGATTTCCCCTAAACTGATCAATTCGCCTCGACTACCTTGTTCCACCTATTGGGAATTTATTTAACGCTCTATCGAACTTTGATACAGGTATTTTGTGTCACATAATATTTCTTAGAAGCTATGAAAATTTTTTTATAATCTAATAAACTTTCTACTTAACAACCTCCCATTAGCTTGCTAAACAATTGCGCATTCTAACTCTTTAAATGTGCAATTTTTAGTAAGAATTTTACCATATGTTTGTTTTTTAGGTATCAAATTCGTTATATACTTGCTCTCTACTATAATTTCAAGGAAGTAGTTCGTTTTTGAAATCCATCTGATGGCTTAATTTTTCTATTTCAAATGGAATGAGGTAGACATTTTGGTGCACTTTCTAGAATAACCAAAATACATTAACCTTCGAAACAGAAATATTTGCTTCTAACATTTTGATTTCTTTCTGTCTAGGTTACGTACAATCGAGTGGCTCGGGGAATGCTGCATAATGATCAGATTACTTTTGCCCTGTTAATCACACGAATCTTTCTGCGCGGTCAAATTGCTGCCGGATCGGGAATGAGTCTCGAGGCCGAGTTCAACTGTTTCTTGCTTGGACAAGAGGCAGCCGCCACAGGCGATGCGGCAAATAAATTTGGCCCTTCCAAATTAACAGGAGTCGCCGATACCGGCAATTTTTTAAGCTTGGAACAGATCCAAGCCGTTACTCGGCTAAGGCGGACACTACCTGCTTTTTCAAATCTTGACAAAATGCTTGCAGCTGAAGAAGACGAAATTATAGTTTGGCTAGATAAAGTGGCACCTGAGGTGAATAATTATTACCAAGCTAAAATATTTAATGACTAAAATCTTGTTTTTTTTCCTAGTAATTGATTATCATGCTAACTCAAATCCAACGATACTTTTCTATTTCTCTCCCTAGACCGAAGTGCCTATTCTCTGGGACGTGGTTCCATCTATTTCACAAACCAGCCATCTCTCTAATATAGTCACTGCTCTACACAGTCTTTTGATCATCCAAGCCCTTCGACCAGATCGCCTGATAGCTTCTACTCATCGCCTGATAATGGCAGCCTTAGGCGAGAACTTCATGGATATGGCAAGACGACATCTTGACCTGGCTGGCATTGTAGAAAATGAAATAAAGCCAAGCGTACCGATTCTTCTATGTGCTGCACCCGTGAGAACAATACTTTGAATTAAATTTTGTTCACTTTTGCATTATTAGCAATACTGGCAATTGTGTTTCCTCTTTCTCTTCTTTTTTAAATAATCTAATTAATAGACATAGAAGAAGAAAGATTAAGGCGGAAAAGACCTCAATTTTATTATTATATAATATGCATGATATCTCTATATTAAATTTGCCATAACTCTTCTAATGTCTTCTCTACACGTTCTTAATTTTTCTTAGGTGTGTATTGTAAAGAGAAATGCTTCTCTGAACTTCCACGCTGATTTTGGCACCTAATGACTTATAATAATAAATTGTTGGTTTGAAGTTATTATGCTCTAGATGACGATCCATTATTGATATGCATCAAATCGTTTACATTTTGCGAGGAAGCTAATCTTTTTTATCCATTGTGGATTGATAAACTTCAATCGTCCTAAATTGCCAAATCATATTGGATATTTAGGACAAGATTGTATGATGGTTTCGATGCATCTCTTTTGAAATAGTAAAAGTAACGAATGGCGTTAGCCTTATTCTAATGAGCACTTTGCGTTTGGAGCCAGTAAGAGTGGCCTTGTTAGTTCCACGTCACTTTATTTCGATACAATTTTTTTAATGAGATATCCTTTTAACATTATTTTTCTTATTCATTTTTCAGCTTAAAATTATCTTCTTGAATATTTTCTGAAAATCGCTGAGAGCGTGATTCTTTGAACATGCTATTTCTCCCTTTTCATTATTTTCTATGCAGCATGTTTTAGGCATTAATTTATGCTTTCCCATTCTTTTGAATCATGCAAACGCTTTATCAGGGCTTTGATCCTAGTGGACGAGTTGAAGACTTGGCCAGTGAGCAGACTCGCCAGCTAACGGGCATCGCAATCGGCTCGACAGAAGGCTTTCTGCAGGCTGACCGGGCCATTAATTCTGCCGCTAAGACCGGCAAGTGGGTCATGCTTAAAAACGTCCATCTTGCTCCCGGATGGCTGGTGCAACTGGAGAAGAAACTGCACAACATCCAGCCGCATCCTGGCTTTCGACTCTTCCTCACTATGGAGATCAGCCCTAAAATTCCCGTTAACCTTCTTCGGTCGGGTCGAGTATTTACATTTGAGCCGCCTCCTGGAATTAAGGTATGCAGTCAAATTGTATGCGCGTGAAATTCAATTTTCACTTTGAGATAGGTTTTTAAAATAGCTCAGTATCTATGCCATACTATAGAATATATTGTACCTTAATTCCATTTACTATTAACTATAGAATAGCTTACTTAATTGTTTTT